CGACGACGACGACGACGACGACGACGACGACGACGGCGACGACGAGCGAAAGCGAGAGCGAGAGAGAACGACAGCAGGGCCACGAAGGGCACGAAGTAGGCCACGAAGGGCGACAGCGGGGACACGAAGGGAATGCGTATAGGACCACGAAGAGCGCGAACGAGCGGGGGCCACGAAGTGCAGATAAAGCGGGGCCACAGAAGGCGACTACGGGGCCACTGAGGGTAGCAACTGGGCCACGTAGGACAGTGAGGGGGACACAAATGGCGACAGCGGGGCCACGAAGGGCATGCACATGGGGCCACAACGGGCGGCGCCAATCCTGGGCGCCTTGGGTGTCGGGAGCGCGGCGCTTGCGCAAATTGGGGGGGGAACAAAAAAAAAACGCAAGGCCATTCTTCAGTAAGTTGCAAGCAAGTCTCCAGCGAGAGCGCGACTCCAGAGCGCCGGGAGAACGATTTCTGAATAAGTTGTAAGGAAGTCCCAAGCGAGAGCGCGATTCCTGAATAAAATGCGAGGAAATCTTGTGCGGGAACGGGGGTCCTGGCTAAATTGTAAGGAAGTCTCAGGCGGGAGCCGTTGTTATTGTAACCCGGGGACCAGGGGCCCAGTTTGAGCAGGAAGGCTTTCCTTTTCAAAAAACAGGGTGCGAGCGTCGAGGGGCACACTTTGATCGAGAAAAGACAATCTGCACCGGTGGGGGGGATCAACAATAATTATTCGTCAGATGTGAGAATTCAACAACAACAACAACAACAACAACAACAACAACAACAACAACAACAACAACAACAATTACTAGCACGTGGGGACACTCCGTTCTCACCAGTGCCAGGGTTTTCATAGGAGGCGGGCAATACCCCCACTTTGTGGGGGGGCCGGTTCAAGCTCTACCAAATTTCCAAACGACTCTTCGCCACCACCCACACCCAGCTTCCCGCCCTATGACGTTCGGACACTTCACTTCGTGGCATGCGGACGACCGTGGCTACTATTCAGGGCCCCGCGGCCGACGACGACGGCGTGCGCGCGCGAAGAAAAAACGAATGTGTCCCGCATGGTATTATTTGACAGGGATGATGGCCCTGGCAGGTGCGCAACCGTTGTTGCAGAAGTTCGAAAAAGTTGCTCGCAAAAGCCCGTTTGACAGAAATGTTTAAAAAGTGTTGGGTTTCCTACGAATCCGCAAGAGCGCGCGGGATGAGATTTTGACATTTTTTTGTTGAAAAACCATTGGTTTTTTGATGTTTTTATGTTAAAATCGCTCCGAACACTAAGGTTTTGGAAGGATTTCGTCTTGCGCGCGCGAATGTCCACTTTACCTTATTTTTTGCAAGGGATTCTTGAAGTTTGGTTATGTTAGAACAAGAAATGTCCACTTTAGCTTTTTTTTTGCAAGGGAAAACGGGGGACAACAAAACAACCGGATCCGGACACCCACGTTTTGCCTGAGACTTCCTCACGAAAATGATGAAAATGTGGCTGCGGCCTAGGCGCGGCGAGGGGGCCGCGCACCAGGGGTCCCAACAATAATTATTATTTAGAATAAATAATGTTCAACAACAACAACAACAACAACAACAACAACAACAACAACAACAACAACAACAACAACAACAAAAACAACAACAACAACAACAACAACAACAACAACAACAACAACAACAGCAACAGCAACAGCAACAGCAACAGCAGCAGCAACGCCACCACCAACAACAACAACAACAACAACGATAACAACGAGAACAACAACAGCAACAACAACAACAACAACAAAACGAACGGGAGGTGTTTCGCCGCCTTCGGCGCCGGGAGGCCCTCGCCAGGCCCTGGGGCCGTCAGAAAACGGCTCAGGATGAGAAACCGCTCCCGGGGAAAGCGTCGGGACTCCCTGCATGGGGCGCCGCACCGCAACAATCGAGACGTCGCGCGTCTGGGGCCCCTTCCCCCAGGGGCAGCGCCTCGCCCCCGCGACCGTCTCTGGATGGCCCCCGCGCCCGAAGATGGCCCCCGGGGGCCAGCCTCGAGGAGCGACGCCGGGGCTGCACGAGACGAGGCCCTGGGAGCTCCGCGCGCTCCCCGGGGGCAGCGGCGGGCGCTCGGGCCCTTTGCCTCGGCGCTCTCGGTGGTCGCCGCTGCCCCCCCCCCCCCCTCGGAGCCTCTTGCCCGTCCCCGCCGGCTCTCCGGCGGCAGCTGCACGCTGTTCGTTCTTCGAGCGTCCTATGATTCCGGGGACGGGGCCAGGCTCCTCTCATATTTCTGATCCTGCTATCTTGGGCCTCTTCCTGGCCACTGGGGGGCCAGGAGCAGCTAGCAACGAGCACAGCTAGAAATGAGCACGCCTAGAAATGAGCACGACGTGCACGGGTTCCGACAGTTCTACGATTCTGGGGGGGAGGCCAAGCTCCTTTTGTTTCTACTCCTTCTCTCCTCGGCCTCTTCCTGGCCACTAGGGGGCCAGGAACAACCCTGAGATCCGACGTTGCCAAAAAATTGCGGCATCGCAAGAAATCGCCCCCGGAGCCCCGGGCCCCATCTTTCTGCGTCATTCTTCGAGCCCGATCGAGCTGTGAGGGTCCCGGGGCTCGAAATCGGACGAAAACTCCCGCGGCAACAAACATTGCAGCGCCAGGATCTCAGGGAATTAAAAGAAACGAGCACAGCTAGAACTGAGCACGCCCAGAAAGGAGCACGACGTGCGCCGCCTCCGACGGCCGGCTCTGGCACGAGCCGGGCCGCCCCCGCGGAGCGCGCTCGCGGCGGGGCGCGGCTGCGGGAGGGCCACCCCGAGGCCGGAGGGCCGCCGGGAGCCCAATAGGGAAAAGCGCCCGGAGGCCTCTCGCGAGCCTCGCGCGCGCCGCGCCCCCGAGGCGCTGCGAGCGCGAGCGAACCCTGCCCCCACCGTGCTGCCTGGGCCCACCCGCTCCGCTAGGGTGTACAGAGTGGTCAGTGGCACCTCCTGGTCTGAGGTGAGCGTTGCCAATGACGCTCGCGGAGGCAACGCCCCCCACCATCCCGTCGCCGCGCAGTCCCTTGTGCTGGCCGGGGTCGTGGGGGCCCTCCCCTCCCCCCCTAATTCGGTGCAGGTGGCCTGTCCTGGGCACGGCGCGTCGGCGCCCGCTCGCTCGGTCAGCGCCCGCTGGAAAAAAACCTCTCCAGGAGGAATGTCCAGAGGTAGTCAAAAAATAAGTTCGGGGCGATTTCGGGAGCATCTTCTGACTCTCTGGGGGTATGTTTTGGGTCTGTTTCACTTCTCGCCCCAGATCCGCCTGGAGGGGGACACGCCCGACGTGACCCGACGGGTCCCTTCGGCGCTGGAGTGCATCGAACACTCCTGCTGATGCCTGGCTGCAGAAATCCTTCAACTTCTGCACCCCTGCATCCTACTGCCAGACATCTGGCCTGCAGAGGGTTCACATGCCGTGGCTCCGGAGGTTGATCGACCACATACCCTGACACGCTAGTCGGCGATTAGCGAATTGACCGCTGTCGGCTCGCGAGAGGGCGTCGCGGCCGTCCTTTTTGCGGGTCAGACCCGTCTATTTCGCTCCTGTGGGCCGTTTTCTCTAAAGGGTAGTTTACCAAATGGAGATTTGTCCACCGCCGATTGCCGAGAGACGCCCAGGTCGAGGGCGCCGGGCCCGGCTTTCCATCCTGAGTCGTTTTTTGATGGTCCCGGGACCCGGCGAGGGCCTCCAGAGGCCGAAAGCGGCGAAAAGACTTCGTCCTGAGTTTTCCAACGACGCAAGAATGTCTGGGTGTCGTTGCCGAGAGACCCAGACATCGGGCGTTTCGAAAAAGATCGAGGCAGAGGTTCTTCATAGTTTTTGGCCTCTCGGAGACATCGCCGGGCCTCGGGACCGTCAAAAAACGACTCGGGATGAAGAGCCTGTCCCAGGGAAGTAGTCGGGAGGTCGGGGGCCCGCGTCTTGAAAAAACCGAGACGTCGGATGTCCTCCTCCTCCTCCTCCTCCTCCTCCTCCTCCTCCTCCTCCTCTCCTCCTCCTCCTCCTCTTCGTTCTCCTCCTCCTCCTCCTCCTCCTCCTCGTCCTCCTCCTCCTTCTCCTCCTCCTCCTCCTCCTCCGACGCCCAGGTCGAGGGCGCCGGGAAGGACCACATGAACGGCCTGTACGCCCACGCGGGCGAGCGGGACGGGCGGCACCTGTACCGGCAGAGGGGCGGCCGGGCAACCCTCCACTACGACGGCCTGCTGGGCCAGTGGCACCTCGACGACCTCTCCAGCGCGGGGGGGAAGCAACGCGACGGCCAGCCGCCAGCACCCTCGAGGGAGAAAAAGAACACAGACAA